CTAACAGTCTACTCTGAGAGCTAGTAGACATGTAGTTGCAAATTAATGAGAATTAGTTGACATGTAGTTGACATGTAGTTACAAAGTTACTTATAGTTAATAGAATGTCTAAAGTGGACTATCGAAATAAAGTGTAACCCAATAAATTAATGCGTACAATATGCATTGAATTGGACGAATACCCCATGTTAGCGCATAATTGTGTAGGATATTTTCCTGCTCATCTGAACACACGCAGATGTTGCAAGACAGAATCAATCAATCACGGAGAGCGTTTACTCACTTCTGACAGTTTTTTACATGATTCCCAATTATTTATATTCACGATTTCTAATATTTCTAATGTCTATAGTATTAAAGACTACACAACATTGTCATATTATCTTTAAATTATTTTTAAATTATTATTATTTTAAATGATTGTCCCTGGATTAGTAGGGTACTCTTGTAATAAAGTAGCGGTGGTAGCGGGCAGATTTTAAGTATCAGTTCTGCTTAAAAAGAAGCAATCTAATCCTGTTTACATGAAATAAGCCGCTCCCGAGCAGGTTTAAGCTTACGGAGCTGTTGCTATGACAGCAACTCCGGGATGAGCTTCGAAGAACCAAACAATCCAAGATCAGGCCAAATCATCAACAATCAAATCCAGCTAACTGAGTTAGCCACGTACGAAGAACGGGCCCCTGGACTGCAAAATAAAGCGCTATCCAGAGTTGTAGGCTGTGTCGCAGTAAATCAGTGCGCTGTCACACAGTCACCACAGGAGGTCGTTGCAAACTAAGCGACAAACCTCAATCAGCGTCCAAACGTCTAGCAGAGCTAAATGCATATGAAATACCAGTTTCATAGCTAGACCATATTTATTTTTAAATTACATTCTATTTTTATTTTATAGATAATGACATTATCAAACACTCGTTTCTTTCTGTTGTTGATTTATTGTCTCAGTGTGCCACTGCTGTATTATAGTAGCCTATGTCTGGAAAAAAAAGACACATGCGCTTCAGTTAACCACGGTTTTGCCTTTATTCTCATTCATTGCGAATAAAACCTAATCTATAATATACAATTATAGACAAAACAACGTCGATGGTCAAAAATGAATCAGACAAACTGACTAACTATTAGGCTAATCGACACTTGACTAATATAATTATAATTTTATATATAACTATATATATATATTTTTTTTTTTTTTTGAGGGGGATCAATGTGGTTAATTGTCATTTATTGTGAAAATAATGTCCAAATAAATTATTTTTAAATCACCTATGACTCGAAATATGACTTTAATTTGGACATGTTCTTGATAGATTTGAATATTAAACATAAAAATATCTGTTAATCGTTTACTGAAGGGTCCTGTTGTTACCTGCTGCTTCTTTACGTCCTTTTCACCTGACGTTCAGAGTGAGGCACATCTGCAATGTAGTCCTCCCCGTCTCTCTCCTGCCGCCAGTGTTTGAGTGCTGGCTCGAATCCGGCTCTGCTGTCCTGCACGCGCAGCGTTACTGTTGCTATTCATCTCTGGTCAATCACAGAGCATGAGACCAAACCATAAGCCGTCACACACGCTGGAAACTTAAACAGTTAAACATGAGCTGAGTTACACAAACTCATTCAACAACTTTTTCATATTTTGGAGATGAGTCCATGGAGTTTTTTCCCCGTGCATTGCTGATGAAATGAGTTCATGAAGAGCTTTTATTTTTTTTTGTTCCTGTACAAGGACACAACTACATTTGTTGGCATGAGAGGTAGAGAATGGCTTGAAGCGAAACGAGAGATTTGCTGAAGAATGCACTGAAGTGGAGTCAAATGAAGATGTCTACTGTCTGCATGTGTTCTACAATACAAGATGAAGACGGTAACTATTCTTTCTTACGGGCATCCCCAGTGGAGTTTGCACAGAAGATATCAATGCATGTCAATATAAAGGAGTCTGTTTTTAATAGGAATCCTTTGTGACGGCTTTATCTCAGACGACAACATTAATGAAAGCTACTAAATAAAGAAGAAGAAGAAAAAGAGTCCCTTGGTGCGCATTAGTAGTCATTGGTCTTGTGTGTTTGTATTTCAGCGGTCAGTGTAATAGTGTTGGGCAGTTGCCAGCTGTCTGGGTCAGACACGTTTTAGACTCGAGCTGCTGTCTGGAAGAAGCCGTTTTATGAAACTCATGAATGTTCGTCTGCACAGTTACCGCTTCAGCTTCTGCAGCGATAGTAAGAAAAGAAACACATGCAAACCGAGCTGACATACAGGATATATCTGCTGGAACTGGACGACTCTTCTCCTGGAGCTTCTAGAGAAAAGCCGGCGTTTGATTTGATGTTCATCCGGTGAGTTACTTCTTCAGACACGTTTTAGACTCGAGCTGCTGTCTGGAAGAAGCCGTTTTATGAAACTCATGAATGTTCGTCTGCACAGTTACCGCTTCAGCTTCTGCAGCGATAGTAAGAAAAGAAACACATGCAAACCGAGCTGACATACAGGATATATCTGCTGGAACTGGACGACTCTTCTCCTGGAGCTTCTAGAGAAAAGCCGGCGTTTGATTTGATGTTCATCCGGTGAGTTACTTCTGGAGTTGCTTTTACTGTCACATTGAGTCTAGCAACGGCTCTGTAATACAGTCCTGCTTCGCAGATAGATGGATGGATGGATGGATGGATGGATGGATAGATAGATGATAGATAGAT